ACCCAAGAGTTATGGACGACATAAAGTGGTCGGACATGCGCATAAAAACTCTAGAAGAAAAAATAGTGAATGTGGCAAAACAAATATTTGAAATAATAATAGCTAAGAATTTTCCAAATTTAGTAACAGACAGCAAAACACAGATCCAAAAAGCTCAAAAAACATCAAGCAAGATTTTTTTAAGAAACACACACCTCACACCTAAGAATATCATATCCAAACTGCTGAAAATCAAAGAAAAAGAGAAAAAATCTAACACACCCTGAGAAAAAGATACAGGATAGAGAAACAAAGAAAACAACAGAGCAGGCATGTTATCAGACTATGCAAACAAAAACAATGAGATGATATCTTTAAAACGCTGAAGAAAAAAAAATCCGTTAACCTAAAATTCTTTATCCAGTGAAACTATCCTTCAGCATGAAAGAAAAATAAACTTTCGCAGATAAACAATAACTGAGAGAATTCATTTTTAGCAGACTTACACTACAAAAAATATCAAAGGAAATTCTTCAAGGAGAAAGAATGTGATACAGTTAAAAACTTGAGTGCTCAACCAGGCATAGTGACTCACCCCTGTAATCCCAGCACTTTGGGAGGCCGAGACAGGCAGATCACCTGAGGTCAGGAGTTCAAGATTAGCCTGACACCATGGCGAAACCCTGTCTCTACTGAAAATACAAAAATTAGCTGGGTGTGGTGGTGCACACCTGTAATCCCAGCTACTCGGGAGACTGAGGCAAGAGAATCGCTTAGACCTGGAAGCCAGAGGTTGCAGTGAGCCGAGATCATGCCACTGCACTCCAGCCTGGGTGTCATAGCGAGACTCCGTCTCAAAAACAACAACAACAACAACAACAAAAATCTTGGAACTACACAAAGAAACGAAGAACATCAAAAATGTAGTAAATGAAGGTAAAATAAAATATTTTCCTTATCTTCAATTGCTCTAAAAATTTGATAAAGCACTAACAATAACAATATAGTTTGTGTTAAGAGAAAGGAGAATATGTAAAAGTGAAATGTATGATGATGGTGGCACAAAGGATAGGAGGTGGGAACTGGGAATATTTATAAGATCCTCACTGCATTGGAACTGGTATGGTATTATTTGAAGGTAGACTTAGATTATTTTAAAATGTGTATTATAAAACTTAGGTGAACCACCAAAGAAGTTTTTAAAAGAGATGTAAATAAGTCAATAGAGGAGATAAAAATGGAATTTTAAAATGTTCAATTAAACCCAGAGAAGGCAAAAAAAAAAAAAAAAAAAAAAAGAGGGGGGAAATAAGCAAATGAAACAAATTGAAAATAACTAGCAAGATAGTAATTTTTAACCCAATCACATCAATAATCACTTGAGATGTGAATAACTTAAACATACATGTTAATTTCTGATACAAGATTGTCAGAGTAGATTTAAAAAGCAAGAGTTAACTATATTCCAGTTGCAAGAAATCTGCTTTAAATATAAGGATATAGGTTAATAAAAGGATGGACAGCAATATACCACATAAACACTAACCAAGAGAAAGCTGGAGTTGCTATGTTAATTTCAGATCAAGTAGACTTCAGAACATGGAATATTATCAAGATAATATTATAAGATTATAAAGGGGTCAACTATCCAAAAAGACATACTATGCATATAACAAAAGTACTTTAAATGAGGCAAACACTGAAAGATCTGTGGATATGAATACACAAATCTGTAATTCTAGTTGAACATTCAGTAATGGATAGAAAAAGTATACAGAAAATCAGCAAGAATATAGATGATCTGAAAAACACTATCAACCAACTGATCTGATTCATATTGACAGAACAGCCCAATATGGGTGAATGTACCAGACAGTCCAGATTTAAAGTTTTAGTTTGAACAGTTGGGAGTGGCCCCCGCAGCTTTCCTTGCTGGTTGACTGAAGCCTGGACTCACTTGTGGCCTTTATTAAATCAAGTTGAGTTGCCAACACTTCCTTTATAAAATACAGAAGAAAGAACCCAAAGGCTTAGGGGAAAAGTAAAGTAAGAATGGATTTACTATGAGGGATCTGATCAGCCACCCCCTCATTATGCCCCCAGGAGGTCCCAGAGGACACTGTCATCAGCAAAGCCATTCATTGGTGAAGGGGGTCTGGCTCCTCATAGATCCATTAAAGGACCTATGGTCACTGTCATCCACACCTGGGGGGATGAGAGTAGGAGGTGCTCTGTTTACATGGACCTCCTGATTTCAGTGGGCTCGGTGGAGATGATGGGATCTCAGAGCAGCAGAGGCAAGCTCTGCATGGTCACCAGACTGGGCAGCAGGGAGGGAGTGGAAATCAGGAGGGTCGACCCTGCAGGAACTTTGGTGGTGGCTAGTTGGTTGTATGCTCCCTAAGACTGAAAAGATGGGAAGTTGCAAAAGCTACACTTGATCTGCATAATAACACACAGAAAATCTAAAGTTTATGATCAGTCGTATGGTTGACCCATGATGGTGAAAAGTCAGGGGTCAATTCCCAGACTTTATCCCAGGGATCAGCAAACTTTTTCTGTAAAGGGTCAGATAGTAAACAGTTTAGGCTCTGAGGGCCAAATGTCTCCATCACAGCTGCTCAGCTCTGACGCTATAGTACAAAATCAGCCTTAGACAGTGTGGAAAGGAGTAAGTGTGGCTGTGTTCCTATGAAACTTTATCTGTGGTCACCGAAATGTAGATTTCATGTCGTGAAATATTATTATTATTTTGGGTTTTTTTCAACCATTTAAAAATGTAAAAATTATCCTTAGCTTGCAGGCCATATGAAAACAGGAAGCAGGTAAGATTTGGTCTGTGGGCTGTAGTTTGCCAGACTCTGTATTAGTGGTCCACAGACTTGATACCCCTTGTATACTAACCACAGCTGGAATCAATCCTGAATTTTCCAAGTCCCTTTAAATGCCATATTTTCAACTGCCAGCCCTTCATTAATGGCCTCTTCCTCTCTCCCAAGAATCCCAATGATGTGCCCAAATGAATCACAGCTGTGCTTAGAGTTCTAGGCGTTCCTCCAGCCCATGACCCTATTACTTACCCCCAGTGATACCCTTTCCTGTACTTTTCCCTGTCCACGCAACCTTTTTCTCCCTTCCCACCCAGTCGTGATGCCACAGCTGTGCTCCGCCATAACCTTAAATGAGCATTAAGAGACAGGGGCTTACAAAAGGGTAAAGTTGTTTTAGTCTCCTGCTATGATTGATTTGCCCTGGTAATTTGCAGCACCATGATTTCTCCTTAGCCAGGAGGCAGTAGCAACCACAGATAGAGAAATACTCACTTTGCAGAGCTTAGGAAAAAATCTCACACAATGAAATACATATTGTTACTTATGGCTTTGCTGGTTTTGCTTCTCTGCTCTTCACAGTCTGTCCTTACTGTACAACAACTATGCAACCTCAGAAAAACTAGTCTTGGGCCCCAAAGATTACTTGTCTGATTTATCCTACCTGATCTTGTAGCATATTTGCATAATCAGTATTTCTGTATGCCCACTGCTGGATATAAGTACATAGGTGAGCATTAAAAATCTGACTGGCTGTCTCTCTTTTGTTTTTTTCTCTCTCACATGGTTTTAATTTTATTTATTTATTTATTCATTTTATGTAATGTTACTTTAAGTTCTGGGACACAGGTGCAGAACGTGCAGGTTTGTTGCCTAGGTATGCATGTACCATGGTGGTTTGCTGCACCTATCAACCCATCATCTAGGTTTTAAGCCCTGTATGCATTGGGTGTTTGTCCTAATGCTCTCCCTCTCCTTGCTCCCCACTCCCCAACAGGCCCTGGTGTGTGATGTTCCCCTCCCTGTGTCCATGTGTTCTCATCGATCAGCTCTCACTTATGAGTGAGAACATGCCGTGTTTGGTTTTCTGTTGCTGTGTTAATTTGCTGAGAATGATGGCTTCCAGCTTCATCCATGTCCCTGCAAAGGACAGGAACCCACCCTTTTTATGACTGCATAGTATTCCATGGTATATATATGCCACATTTTCTTTCTCCAGTCTATCATTGATGGGCATTTGTGTTGGTTCCAAGTCTTTGCTATTGTAAATAGTGCTGCAATAAACATAAATGTGCATGTGTTTTCATAGTAGAATGATTTTTATAATCCTTTGGGTATATACCCAGTAATGGGATTGCTGGGTGAAATGGTATTTCTGGTTCTAGATCCTTGAGGAATTGCCACACTGTCTTCCACAACAGTTGAAGTAATTTACATTCCCACCAACAGTGTAAAAGCATTCCTATTTCTCCACACCCTCTCCAGCATCTGTTGTTTCCTGACTTTTTAATCATTGCCATTCTAACTGGTGTGAGATGGCATCTCATTGTGGTTTTGATTTGCGTTTCTCTAGTGACCAGTGATGATGAGCATTTTTTCAAATATTTGTTGGCTCTATAAATGTCTTCTTTTAAGAAGTGTCTGCTCGTATTCTTCACCCACTTTTTGATGGGGTTGTTTGCTTTTTTCTTGAAAATTTGTTTAAGTTCCTTGCAGATTCTGGATATTAGACCTTTTTCAGATGGGTAGATTGCAAAAATTTTCTCCCATTCTGTAGGTTGCCTATTCACTCTGATGATAGTTTCTTTTGTGCTTGTGCAGAAGCTATTTAGTTTAATTAGATCCCATTTGTCAATTTTGGCTTTAGTTGCAATTGCTTTTGGTATTTTAGTTATGAAGCCTTTGCCCATGCCTATGTGCTGAATGGTACTGCCTAGGTTTTCTTCTAGGGTTTTTATGGTTTTGAGTTTTACATTTAAGTCTTTAATCCATCTTGAGTTAATTTTTGTATAAGTTACAAGAAAGTGGTCCAGTTTCTGTTTTCTGCATATGGTTAGCCAGTTTTCCCAGCACCATTTATTAAATAGGGAATCCTTTCCCCATTGCTTGTTTTTGTCAGGTTTGTTGAAGATCAGATGGTTGGAGATGTGTAGTGTTATTTCTGAGATCTCTGTTCGGTTCCATTGGTCTATATATCTGTTTTGGTACTAGTACCATGCTGTTTTGGTTACTGTGTTGGCTCTCTTTTAACACATGCTTCCACAGTTGTAATTCTACGTCTCCATTAGAATCTTCTCCAGTTCTTAACTTCTCAGTTTCTTTTGCTTACATGAAGCAAAAACATGTTTTTCTTACAACCTGCCACACAGCCCTGGTCCTGATCTCACCCATTTATTCTTCTGAGTTTCTTGACCATCATTTCTTTTTATTTCTATTGCTGCCATCTTGATTTCACTTCTCCACTGTTCTGCACACTGTAGTACACATGACACAAAGAACACTGATTAAGACAGAAAAGACCTATTGAGTTCTAGTTCTGGCTTAGTTACTTGGTATCTATGCAATCTTAGCAAATCATGCACCTCTCTGAAATTCAGTTTATCAACTGAAAAATGGGCTAATACTATCTCTGCCTATTTCACTGGATTGTAGTGAGAATCAAATGAGGCAACGCATGTCCAAGTGTTTCCTAAAACACTATTTATTTTTTTCTTCCCAACTTTTATTTCAGGTTCAAGGGTTACATGTGGAGTGAGAAAGAGGCGTAGAGTCTGCGCGTTGGGATTCCCTCTCCAGGCCTTGGGGCCGTAGGAAATTCTTTCCTATTCTGCTCATTAACTTATGCAGCTAGTTCATTCCAGACCAGAGAGAGGAACAGACCTCCACGCTGACACTCCCAGGGCTCCTCTTGGTTTTATTTTAGCAGAAGCCAAAGAGAAGTGGCAGCACCTTTGCAGCCTCCCTGTGACCTCTCCAGTTGAGTCCAATCTGGTCTGAGAGTTTGTTCTGCCAACTTGAGCACTCTAGTGAGAATCAGGAGACTTCGGGGATTTTCCACTGTGTTGAAAACACTTCAGTTTTGCTTAGTACCAGCACTGCCAGGTCTCAAAGTCTGGAGCCATCTATAAACAAGTTCTAGCCAGATAACTGCCACGAGCCCCCACTCCCCTTAAACTAACAAAAACACTCTTATCTCCCAGCCAAAAAAGAAAAAAATCCCCATCATCGTCCAAATGCACCAACTTCCTATTTTTCCTGGCTGGCTGCCCTTTCTTCTTCATTGCCTTCTCTTCGTTTCCCAGCAGCAGCCAACATTCCCTGCAACTTGATCAGCAGGGCAGGGCGGGTTCTACCTAGCAGTGTGCAGGACATAATGTGTGGGAGGAGACGCTGGAGGGGGCATAGCAGGACTCCCCCAGTTCTCCAAGAGCCAGAGGCATTTACAAGGCTGGCCTGGGGAAAGATCTCGTGGCCTACTCTAAATAAACACTTCAAATCCTGGATGGAGTCATTGCAAGTCACCTGTGTTCAGTGCTTCAGAGTTTACAAAGCTATTTCATACATGGCCCCATGAGGTCAGATCTTATCTTCAATTCAAAGATGAGGAAACTGAAGCTCAGATAATTTAAATGGCTTTTCTAAGATTATCTAGAAGAGCCTGGAACTGAATTTCAGACCTCTGAGTAAACTCTGTGGGCTTGGCCTTACATTTGGCATCACAGAAAGGATAGATGGTTTTGAGAAGTCTCAGGAGACAGGTGTTAGTGAGCATATGCACACACACACACACACACACACACACACACACACCTCATGGTGCAAATTCCACTTTAAGAAACTCATACTGAATAAGACAAAGTACTTAACAAAGTTCTGACATCATACATTGCCTCACCTGGGGACAAGACCGTCCTAAGATCAACATCATTTTGTATCAATGAACCTGACAGCAGCTTATCACACTGAATGGCAATCATTTCTTTACAAACTGCTGCCAGGTTCATTTCCCCTAGGAAATCCAGAGCCCTCATCAGTCTGTGAATGACTCAGGAGACCGCACGGAGCCTACTGCACCACTGATCCTAAACACATTTTTTGTGTGTTTGTAAATTATGAGAATCATGAGGACAGATAAACTGCCACTTCAGTCACCTTGCTCAAATATTATACTTATATCAATTATGCTCATGATTCCCCAAGTCAGGCCCAACAGGATGAGGGTGCATGGAGCAGGTGGGCCAGAGACACAGTGAGGTGCATTGGGAATAACAGGAGACCAGGGGAACTTGGCTAGGTGCGAAGCCGGTATTCAGACAGGTAGCTAAACAGGAGATATCTTGGAGTGAACAGAGGAAAGCCCAAACTAAAAACTGGCAGAGCTGATGGGCAATGTGAAGCAGGCAGCGGTGTGACAGCACCCATCCTGGAAAAGGAGGCGCTAGATGGTTGGCTCCAGTTCACTACATTCCCCTACATACCCCTTCTGGGCAGGGGTAGTTCTATTTGCCCCTTTTTACCATGCATCATCTTGAAGGTGCCCTGCTCCCTCCAGCCCACAGCTGCAAAAGCAAATCTGTATGCACAATGCAGATAATTCCTTTAAGTTACCCTTTGTAATGGGGACTGTCCTATCTCCTCATTGAAGCTGTGGTAGCAACAAGTCACTGGAGAAGAAAACAATTTTTAAAAAATTAACGGGGAGCAAAGTAGAATAGAAATCAGTTGCCCTACTGGGCAACTAGGAAGCTCACTGCTTTTTTCTTGGGCTCTGGGTTTTCGTGGTGGTGGTGGTGGTGGTGGTTACTTGTTTTGTCTCATTTTTAATGTCTCTGTAGTTAAAAAGTCTTGGAGACACTTGCAATAAACACCTCAGAAAAAGGCCTCTTGTCAGATCCCAGGACCCAGCAGGGCACAACCTGTGAGAACATCCCCCTGAGCACTGAAGGGAGGCATCGTCTGGTCATCATCTGGTAAGCAGGCATGCTGTTCGCCTGACACAGCCCAAGCACATGTTGGCAGTGGAGGACTTGTGAGGATGCTCATGTGAAACTCTCAGGGCATCCCAACCAGTAAGCAGAGCCTGGGGAGTTGGAGGCCCAAATCCGAGAAAGACAAAAGAGGTCTGTCCTCAAGTTCTGGGTCAGAGCCCCTTGAAGACAACAGGAATCTGGGCAGGTCACTAAAAGAGGGGTTCAGAGGTCCAAGGTCAAAGTTCAGTGATAAGAACAGAAAGTACCAGAGTGGGAAGGCACTTTCTCAGCAAAGAAATCTCAATGCCCAGAATGCAGGGCTGAAGCTATTGAAAACCAACTATGTCCACCTAGATTGGACCAGGTCATTAGGAGTGGGTGATTCTTATCTGTGGGTAAGAATCAAGTGACACCCCCACCCCACCCACCAGCTACGGAAGAAGAAGGAATTAGAGATTGAAACTCAGATAGGATCTGACAATTGAATGATCTCATAGTTAACCACTGAGCTAAAACTCATTTGTAAAACAAGGTTAATTATGACTTACTTTTCTTTCCAGAATTAAATGTCTTCCATGTCAACACTCATGCCAGGATTATACAGACACTGGGAGAGCCTCCTCCCACAACCAGCCTCCTTCCCTGAGGTCACCTAGGGGAAATGAAGGCATTGGTGAGAATACTTTCCATCACACCAGAAGAGATGAGAGTTTAAACAGCATTAGACTGAGAAGAGAAACTCGGGGGGCTTTTAACTTCAGGACAACCAGGGAACCACGCTGCGGTAGAAATGGAACTTGCTTCAAGCTTCCTGGCCTTGAATCCCAGTTCCGCACCTGACTTGTGAGTCAGCACTGACAACGTAATGATTGCAGCCTGTTTTGGCCGAAGACTCCAAAACAGTAAGTGCCCATCACTCCCACATACCGAAGGGAACTACCAGACTGCCTATGCAGGATTTGAGAACTGAAGGTTCAGAGACAAAAGCACTTAGGAAAGAAAAGAAATTTACTTTCAAAAGAGCTCAAGGGAGTTAGACTTCAGACAGCTTGGCTTACAAATAAATAAATAAGTAAATACATACATATATACATACATGCATAAGTCTATAATAGATATTTAAAGGGAAAATCCCTTAACTTTAGCAAGGTTAGCTAGTTTACATTAGCCTGTTCTGGTGGATTTTCTCATATGGTTATCACATCCTCAAAAGTCATAACATATGGTCAGCTGTCAGCATTACAAAAGCCAGGATAAAGGTTTTTGTTAGAGTCAGGTAAGAATCAAATAACACCTTCAACCCCATTAGGAAAGGAAGGAGTTACAGAGGCTGGAGACCTAGCTTTACTGGAGAGGCTAACAGCTTGCTTATTTCGGACACCAGAAGCAGAAATGGTGAGTTTATTATTTGTGGTTTATCTCCCAGTGCAACTTGGTTTTATTTTGTTTTCCTCCTTGGTTGTGAAAAATGGTGTTCAGATTATTCAAGTTGAATAAAAATTGCAGGAGGCCATTGTTTTGGACTAAGCTCTTGCACTAGGCCCCAACAGATCAGACTAAAAACCAAAATGGAGTCACCCATGCTAAAGTCCCACATCACCAAGCTGAAACCGAGTTGTCATCTGGCCTTCCAAGAAATCAGGAGAGAAAGATAACAGCCAAATTGCTGAGCCAAAGTGGACCACAGCAGTGTTGCTCCCACTGTAGGTCCTTGGCTGGGGAAAGGGAGATGCTTTATGATTGAAGTTTAGGGATTTTTCTGTTTTTTAAAAAAAATTAAATTTCATAGCACTGTACATATTAATTATTGATGTGAGACTATTCTGAGGATGAAAGTACCTGGGAACTTTTATTTTATTTTATTTTTTGAGACGGAGTCTCACTCTATTGCCCAGGCTGGAGTGCAGTGGCGTGATCTTGGCTCATTGCTACCTCTGCCTCCCAGGTTCAAGCAATTCTTCTGTCTCAGCCTCTCAAGCAGCTGGGACTACAGGCACCGGTCACCGTGCCCGGCTAATTTTTGTATTTTTAGTAGAGACGGGGTTTCACCATATTGGTCAGGCTGGTCTCAAACTCCTGACTTCAAGTAATCCACCCGCCTTGGCCTCCCAAAGTGCTGGGATTACAGGCACAAGCCACCGCGCCTGGCCAACTGGACACTTTTATTATTATACACAGGAGAAGCTATGAGGTCTGCCTGAGATGAAGTCAGGGAAGAGCCAGCCCCACAGCAGGAGTGAAGAGGCGGTGGTAAAATAAAGATTAACTTGCTGTAAGGTTGTTCTTATGAGTCCTGCCCTTTCAAATACCAGTTATAGGAGTATACTAGTTCTCTCTGTAGCTGCTGTAACAAATGACCGCAAATTTAGTGGCTTACAACAACAAAAATTTGTTACAGAGTAGCTGTCTCACCATTCTGGAGGTCAGAAGTCCGAAGTGGTTTTTCCAGGCTGCAGTCAAGACGTGGGCAGGACTGCATTCCGCTTGGCAGCTGCGGGGAGCAATCCATTATCCTTGCCTGTTCCAGTTTCTGAAGGCCACTTGCATTCATTCCTTCCCCTCAGCATTTGTTGTCACCTTGTCTTCCTTTATCCAGCTGACCCCCCTGCCCCACTTCTATGAGAACCCTCGTGATTGCACTGGGCTCACCCCAACAATCCAGGATAATCTTCCCATCTCAACAGCCTTAATTTACCACATCTGCAAAACTCCTTTTGCCACATAAGGTAACCTATCTGTGGGTTCTAGAGATTAGGATGTGGATATCACTGGTGGGGGTTTGCAGGGGCGGATTATACAGGCTACCACAAGTGGATAGGTAAACCTGAAAAAAGTCACTTTGTTCCCTGAGCCTTCATTTGTTCCTCTGTAAAATGGGGACAATAATACCTACCTTACAACATTACAGGACTTAAAGGAAGTCTGATATGAAACACTTTCTATAGCCTCTCAGTAATTTGCTTTGTAAGAATTCATTCTTTTCATCCATTCACTTGATACATTTATTGAATACCTACTATTTATTGAGTACCAGGCTAGTGTTCAGAGTGCTGAACTACATATTGCCAAAAAGAGGGAAGACAGTTGAGAGCAAGAACTTTGACTGCCCTAAAGGGGGAAGGAAGGAGTGAATGGCACAGCTGAAGACATGGTTTAGAAAAGTGAAGCAACCGCCTGGTTGATTCCATCAAGTTCTGACAGTCCTTTATCTGAAAGATGGAGGGACCTAGTTAAAATACTTTAATCATGTCTGCTTTTTTGCTTAAGAAACACTGGTCTGCTAATATGATGCAGAAATAAAAATGCACAGTATTATCGTGCCTCAGATAGTTTAGATTAATTCAGAGGGCTAAAGGAACTCAGGCAGACCAGTCGCTTCCATGGGAGCCATTTGGTATATAGAAGTATAGTACTAAGCCTGAGTTCTAGGTAGGTTCAGGTCTAAGGTGTGTATCAATCCTTCCTTGAGTCCTTTACATGGGTAGCTATTAGATGTTGAACTAGAAAATCAGCTACAACTTCACAGAGCTGACTCCTAAGGCAAAACATGAAAATAATTTTTTATTAGATTAAGAGATATAGAGAAGACAAGAGTTCCTGGGGGAAAGAGAAAGTTGCCAAAGAATTGCTAAAAAGATCACAAAAGCATTGCTGTTGGTAGAATGACAACCTTCCCTAACTAGAGGAGTCTCAAAAATCAATACTTGCTCTAATCAAAGAAGATACCTGACTTCTAAGGGGCAAGTATCATTCCACACACATTTTTTCCCCTCTGAGCCTTGCTTTTTTTCACTTGGCAATATAGATCGAATCTTTCTATTTAAAATAAAGAGCTAAGAAAGACTTTTTTTGTAACAAAGAAGAATTCTGAATAATATGTTGTGGGACAAGAGGAAGATGCCAGTGAAGAAAGCAAGAAAGCCAAATATGTGCATTAAAAGCCAGGATTATGGCCAGCCAGAGTGGCTCACACCTGCAACCCCAGTGCTTCGGGAAGCTGAGGCAGGAAGATTGCTTGAGGCCAGGTGTGCAAGGCTGCAGTGAGCTATTACCACACCACTGCACTCTAGCCTGGGGGAGAAAGACCCTCTCTTTAAAAAGAAAAAAGTGAACAAAAAACTCCCCCACTTGATTATATAGACTGTAACAATACGAAAACGCATAACATTGTACGAAGTCTGTGGTTGTAACTTTGAAAAGTAACTGAATATATATAAGGGCAAAATAATTACCCCCAGAGGTTCTTAGTTGAAAAGAACCCTTGTTGCAAAAGACAGATTAATAAGAGAAAAATAAACCAAAGTTTATGAGCATGTATGTTTCATATATACATGGGAGACGCCCAGGAAATGAGAAGTTCTCAAAGAATGGGCTTCAAATTCAGCTTACATAGCATCTTCAACAAAGAACAATAAAATTTTAGAGAAGTGATAAGATAAGACAAAGGAAAGGACTTTGAGTCTCTACAGGCAGTAACTTGGAGGAAAGCAAATAGCTGGCAGATGTTAAAAAAAAAACTTAGACAAATTAAATTTCACAGAGTTTAATTGAGCGAAGAATGATTCGTGAATTGAGCAACCCTCAAACCAAAACAGGTTTCAGAGAGACTCTGGCCTGCCTCGTGGTAGAAAAAGATTTATGGACAGAAAAAGGAAAGTGATGTACAGAAGACAGAAATGAGGTACAGAAACAGCTGAATTGGTTACTGCTTGGTGTTTGCTTTTTTTTTTTTTTTTTTTTTAATACGGTTTGAACAGTTGGCTGTCTTTCATTGGCTGAAACTCAGTGATTGGCCTAAGAGTAGATTACATTCAGTTAGGTTCACAGACCCAGTTAGGTTATGGTTCACTGAGTATGGAGTTCAGCCTGTACGTTGAACTTAGAATATGTAAGGAGGCGGCATTAGGCTAGACTTAATTTAACACAGATAAAGGGTACTTAGCAAAGCTTGTTCATGTAGCTTCCTCTGGTACCATCTCCAGGCAGAGAAGCGAGACGCATCTAAAGCTGTCTGCAGTGGTTAACCTTCGTTCTCCTTGGTAGAAGACGGGGCAGGACACCTTCTTCGGAAATCTATGTCCTGCTCTTAGGCAAATAGAGAGAGAGAAGAGAGTTTTCCTGCACCTACTTCTTGATTTTCTTCAGCTCAATAATCCTTCATATCTGGGGGCAGCCTATTCTGGTCTCCTGCATAGACAAAGGTGGCAGAGAATGTGAAAAGATTTTAACAGTTGTGAACAGGTGGTAGGATTGTGGCTTCTCCTTTTGGGTTTCTAACTGTCTGAAAAGTTAGCATAGTCTTCATACTAAAATAATTTCAGTAAGTTTGTCTGATAAAATTGTACAAACATAGGCATATTGTTTACATCTGGAGACCCTGAAGCTTCCAACTCCAATTCTGAAGCTTTTCTACCAGATACCATATCCACTACTGCTATCTTAATTCTTTAAAATTGTCCTAGGACTCCTGTTGCTTTTATCAGATCTCCCCCTGGTGTCACCTTTAAAAACTTTTGTCATTCAGGTGAACCCAGCTCTTTAGGAACTATTTTTATTTTAATTAGTAGACATCTCCTTTCACTGTTTTTAGCATTTTGACAATTTATGAGGAAACCCTGGAACCCCTATTCAGTCACAAAACTCCACTTGGAAACAAGGCCACCCTATTAATATCGCTGTGCAACTATGTCATCAGAATTCTTTAAAACATTTGTAATTCAAAATATCCCATGAAGATACTATTGTATTTACAAAACACTAAAAGAAGTGGAATTGTGATAGGATTATCAAGGGAATTTAGCAAAATCCAATAGCAATAGCGCTCTTGTTTTTCTGGGTAAGCAGAAATACAGGTGGTTAAGAAATGTAGTTCAAGGAGCCTGTTATCAAGACCCGGTAAGCCTTTTCTGTCTATTTAATGTCCAGTCTTACATCAGTATTTACTCTTAGTATCAACAGTAAGTGGAAATGTAAATATCTTATCAGGAGACTAGGTTCTGCTCACAGTCTAGCAGACATTTTATTTATTTATTTTTATTTTTATTTATTTATTTTTTTGAGCTGGAGTCTCACTCTGCAGCCCAGGTTGAAGTGCACTGGTGCAATCCTGGCTCACTGCAATCCCCACCTCCGGGTTCAAGCAATTCCCTTGCCTCAGCTTCCCTAGTAGCTGGGATTACAAGCTCGTGCCACCATGCCAGGCTAATTTTTGTATTTTTAGGAGAGACGGGGTTTCACCATGTTGCCCAGACTTGTCTTGTACTCCCGACCTCAGGTGATGCACCCACCTCGGCCTCCCAAAGTGCTAGGATTACAGGTGTGAGCCACCATGCCTGGCCCAGCAGATGTTTTATTGATGTCTTCCTTTAGCTTTCTCAACTTGGCTTCAGAGTCCCCTATTATTTGAAGCAAAAGAGAAAAAAAAATGTGAAATAAATTTAAGATATCAGTGTTTTTGGCACATTTTCAGTGCATAACAACTTCTCCTGCAGCTAAAGAAATAAAGAATTATGACTCATTCTCTCAAATGGTCTTGGCTCTTGAGCTTCTAAAAAATATATCTTTAAATATATTATTTCATCCATTCTCACAAGCACATTTGGGGCATTGTTATTGTCCTGTATTAAAGATAAGTATACTGAGGCTTAGAGAGTTAAGTGTCTTTCCGGTGCAGAGCCCAGGGTCCCCTCAGATCCTACCTAGGACTCTTTCCACATTGCCACACCAGGCATAGACAGGTGTCATCACTGTAATATCATGGAGGCTCCAAAGAGTAAAGAGCTATGCAGGTGTGAATCTCAGCTGTTTCTTCAGATTCTCCACTGGAACTTTCATATAGGCTCTTTCTACCTTCCTAGGACATAACTACTTCAAAAGTGAACTGTGATCTTGCAAGAGCTTTGGTGTCTCTCTGGACTTTATGCCTTTGAATTGAACCAACCCACCTGACTAATTCCCCTCTCCTTTTCTACCCTCACCCTGATTTTGTTCTGGCCTCAAGGTCCCCTTTGGATCTACATCCCTTCTCAGATTCCTTCTGCCTCTAGCACTTGGGTGCCCACAGCTCTTCCTGACATCCTCCTACTGCTCAGGACCTCCTGCCTGTGACCTCCACAGAGCTTCAGAGTGGAGGCCAGGACCACGCCCTTTGGCCTTCCTAGGTACAAATGAAGAGTCTCTACTTCTCTCCCATTATCTCTGAATCATGCCAAGCCAAAGTCCAGCCCTCCCCCACAATGACAACCATGGACAACCAAGAAGGAGACCCGGGCCTGGTCCTATGCATCCTGAGTACTGGTGGGACTCAGGAGTTCAAGAGACAGATTCAGGTGAAGACAGGGGTTCCTTGAGCATAAGGTTTCTAGGAACAGAGGACATGGAGTATTTGGTGAGCAAAACCTAAAGTGTGCATATGCATGACTATAAATGTTGGTGGCCTGAGAGGTGGTGCAAAGCCCAGAGTCCAGCTCTACCTTTAGGTCCATCTTCCAGAGAAATCTAAACCCATGGGAGTCTGAGGCAGGGAATAGCAAGAACATCTCTACAATGCTCCTCATGCTTCCTGACTTGACCATGACCCCTGATCCCATACATCTTCCCTCCCCAGTGAGACCCCCTAGATCGTGCTTCCAGCTCCATGATTCTTCTCTTGTCATTTTCCTTGCTGGAAAATGCATAGGAAATGCACTTACATTCTAATGCATCATGACATACAAAAGCAGGATCACATTTCACAACAAAACCAGAACTTATTTTGATTCTCACATGCAGGGAACCAGGATAATAACTTTTTTCATACATCAAACTACCTAGAAAGGGACTTTTTATCTTTTTTGGAAAACTGAGGGAACCAAGACCCATCAATGCATAACATGTATTTATTGAGCATCAACAAAAGGTCAGGTGGTGTGCTTGATGGGCAGAAGCATGCAGCATGGCCCTGCCTTTCAGTCTAGTTGTAGTGATAGGATACAGAGGCATGTGGGACCCTTGTCACACTGTTACACTGCAATTCAAGGTAGCAGACGCTTGTATGGACCCTCCAACCCAGTCTGCTTCCTGGTCAAGGCATCCAGAATCTGCCCCAGCAGTGTTGCCCTTTTCCCAGTTCTCAGGCCCCTCTTGATCTGATGCAAAAGTATTTAACAAACTAGCCATACATAGTGAGGCTCAGCATCTAGTCTGCTTAGCAGTGAGGTTAGTCCAAGGTCTGATAACTGGATTTCTACTGATGGCTAGGGCCTATTCCTTGCGTATTGTCCATCCCACTCTGAGGTCTAGACGTTTTCCCCACCCCTAGTCTCTTATTCATACCATGTACATGTCCTCCTGAACTTCTGAGTGTCCCTCAACCCAGATCTCAAGTTGATAATCTCTGCCTACACCTGCATGATCCATCTTATGGTGCTTGTGGAAAACCAAGGGCAATCAAAATCATAAGGTACAACAGCCATTGAGAGCCAAGGGTCTCCTAGTGTCACCCATGTGAGCATCATGAACCTGCTTGAAGTATCACCTGCAGCAGCTGCAAGTCACTGCCCTCAAAGTCGTAACACCCCACTGAGAACAAAGCCGGACGCTGGCTAGGTTTTCACCTCGGCCACCTGCTTCTCCAGAAACTGCCAACTCAGACCAAAGTTCAACCTGGTCATGATTCTGACAAGCAGTTGCATTTCTGATAAATAATTACTTATTAAATCAACTGTGACCTTTATAGCTGCCAGAGAAAACCAATTTACAAAGATTTTTAGAGACCAGATGTTTAAGATTTTGTTTTGTTACTCATGTTATTTTTGAAATCACGTGATTTTAAGCACTTGATTTTAGATATCATAAAACCTTTCTGTCTGGTGAGATTCCTGGGTAAAGTGTGTGTGTGTCTGTGTGTGTGTGTGTGCATGTGTGTGGGGAGGGTGGTCTAAGGTAACTCAGTAATTCCATATTTAAATATAGTGAATTTAGAATTTAAACTCAGTGAGTTCAAGAGTTTCCACCTCTATCTACTTTCACTCTTCTTTCCAATGAGGAGATGCTGGACCAAGACCCATTGCCTGGGGTGACTGGCTCTGCTGGGCAGTGGCTTAGTGGCCTTCATCTGGTCCCTGTGCCTATGAACTGGTCTCATTGTTGATGCTCATATCCTGCCATGGCCTCTGGTCACTGGGCCCCCATCTGCTTCTTCCTGGTTCTGATGCCAAGCTTTTCTGGATGGGCCAGCTCATTCTCAGTCCCCTCTGAGCCACTTTCAGGGTGCCGTGGAGGAATTCTCAGGCAATTTCTCATGCCTCTTGGAGCATGTTACACATAGTTGCCTCCCCCAAGTCCACAGGCTGGCACTCCTCCTTCAGCCATTGTGATCTTTCCACGTAGGCCCCAAGAGGGGGCCTTCATCTATTCACACGTTGTTTAATTACCGATGTAGTCAGAAATCCAGAAAGAAAGGATATGCAGATAACATAGATATAAACATAGGTCTACTTGCCTCCTTAAACAATTTACTGGAAATAATATGATTATACATTTTTTACTTTGGAAATATTTATTGAGTCCTACTGTGTGCCAAGTACTGTTCTAGAGACTGGGGATACAGTAAAAAGCAAGACAAGGCAAGAATCCTGAGCTCACGAGAATTAGATTGCAATGCATTAAGACACACAGAAAACAGGAACTCATTTCACAATGAAAACTAAGCTTATTTTGATTCTCACTCCAACAACCCATGAAATATTAAATTTCCCCCCAAACAGGAAAGGCTTGCAAGCTGTGTAAGTTCTAAGCCAATTCTCACGATATAAGAGTGACACATTCCCAGGACTGTGCTATGGGTTGCTTTCAGAGTTTTGAAAAGCACAGAAATGACCTCTTTTAAGACAATATGAATAGTTATCCATTATTTGATTTTAGATATCACAAAAGCTTTCTGTCTGGCGGGATTCCTGTGTGTGTATATATGTTTTGGGTCTAAGGTAACTTGGTAATTCCATATTGAAACATACTGAATTCAGAATTTAATCACAGTTTAAGAATTTCCACCTCTATCTACTTTCACTCCTCTTTCCAATGATGAGGTGCCTGGACCAAGCCATTACCAGGCACCAGGCCAGGGTCTTTGCAGATATTATCTCTGATTCCTAGTGCAACTCTAAGTAAGGTGAGTTTCATTATTATCAGCCCTACTTTGCAAATGGGAAAAGTGAGGCTGATTGAATTTAAGTAAGTTGCCTGAAGTCACCCTAGTATGAAGTGGATGAGTCTTAACGGAACACAGATGGCCTGATTTCACTCTGCCTTCCCACAAATAGTAGGCAAATCCATTAAAAATTATAAGTAGAAATGTTTGGAGTGTTTCTTTAAACAAAAACTTTGCCCTTTATATTTAAGAGTGTATATGTGTGAGCTGAAAGAATGAGGCTTGGGGAGGACAGGATGAAATAGACAAAGTTAGAGAACACTAAAGTTTGTGAAAACACTCACAATTGAGGACCAATGAAAATGATAAAGCATGTCAGAAAGCATAAAGTTAGGAAGAGGTAAAAACATAACCCATTTTGCAAATGTTTGGTTCCAGCTAAGCCTTTGGGAACAGATCTTGAGGCAGGGAGGAGATAGGAAGGCAGGCCCAGAGCGACTGTGCTGTGGACACTCATCCAACACCAGCCTTACCCCATCCCTCCTCTTCACTGTGTGCCTTCTTCCCTTGTTCCCTATGGCTCAACATTGAACGTGTCTTCCACAGTCCCCATTTAGCCAGCCTTCCTACAGGACTGCAACCTCTTTTCTTGGATCCTCAATCTTGGTCCCGGACCCAGTCTCTAGGGACTTGCACGTTACCCCCGGACCATTCCATCTGTCCAGGCTTCACCACCTAAGCATTAGGCCCACACCTCTGGGTTTATCTCTATGAAAATCATATTATCCACCTGAACCATCTTCCCTCATGGAGCCCTTGAAGTGTGCAAAAGGAAAGCCACCTGCAAGCCGGACTTCATCAGGGAGGATCCCAGGGAACCAGGAGAGAGAAAGCAGATGGTAAGAACAGCAGGGTCTGGCCCGTCCGTAAGGGGGCCCTTGAAAGCTAGATCTAATCAGAGTTTCATCTTTGCATCTGCCTCTGTTGGGAATCTTTCACTTTGTCCTGCTTTTTAGACATGTCTTTCTCTTTCATAAGATTATAAGTGTCTTGAAGAACTTACTTACACAGTAAGTGCTCCCTAAACCTTCTCTAATGCTCCAGTAATATTCTCTCCTCTTGAGAAGAGGAGGCACCCCAGAGTGGCCTGTTTTACAAGGAAAACGCAGTCTGGACAAACAGCTGTAGAATATCAGTAGACCTCCCTCCTGTCCTCCAACCAGCCTCACCAGACCCTTTCCCTTTCTGGATTTCTGTTCATTGGAACATAAGCGGTATCATGACCCTGACCACATAATGGTGAGTGGAAACACAAAGAACAGAACTGATTAGGCTGTTGGAGTTTCCTGTCACATGATCTGTATGGAAACAAAGCCACATCAGATGTTCCATTCACAGCTCTTCAATTTTCCTCTGCTTTTATCTCAAGTTAGTTGCCTTACAAGTTATTTGTATTTGTTCCCTTTCTCAGGGAAAATGTACTTACTATTTTATTTTTTAACAGCATCCTTATAATATCCATCTTTGGAGAAAATTTCTGGGACACGGGCAGATGTATTTGATTCCTGGTATAGTTATAGCACTAATACCTCATAGTAAACTGCATTAGGACATTTTCTCTAAGCCTTGATTTATGCAGAATTTACATTTTCAGGCTAATGCCTGGGAAAAAATTGTGAGATGAGTGAAGTTTGTTTTTAATATCCGTCCTACTCCACCATCCCACTGTTCCTCAAACCCCACCTCCACCCGTCTCTGCCTACAGCAGGCACCTCAGCTCTCATGCCTGGAGTCTTCTACAGGGGATAAAAAGTGTTAAGAACTTGATCTCTGCAGCCAGCCTGCCTGGGTTCAAATCCAAGTTCTAACCTCTCACTAATTGTTTTTTTGTTTTTTTGTGGGTTTTTTTGTTTGTTTGTTTTTGTTTTTTTTGAGATGGAGTCTTGCTCTGTCGCCCAGGCTGGAGTGCTGTGGCCGGGTCTCAGCTCACTGCAAGCTCCGCCTCCTGGGTTCACGCCATTCTCCTGCCTCAGCCTCCTGAGTAGCTGGGACTACAGGCGCCCCCACAACGCCCGGCTAATTTTTTGTATTTTTAGTAGAGACGGGGTTTCACTGTGTTAGCCAGGATGGTCTCGATCTCCTGACCTCGTGATCCGCCCACCTCAGCCTCCCAAAGTGCTGGGATTGCAGGCGTGAGCCACCGCGCCCGGCCACCCCTCACTAATTGCTGAATGGTCTCAGCAACACTAGACCTTTCTGTCGCTTACGTTATTCATCTGCAAAGTAGGAATAGTAATAGGCTACCATGAGGATCAAATGTCTTAATAGATGTAAAACACTTAGAACAATGCCTTGCACTTAGAATGCACTGATTAATAATGTTACGCTCTTATCCCTCCTGTTCTCATCCCTGATTCCAATGATACTGTTTGACAGTTGCTCTGAGACACTGGGGCATGGACCTGTTCTGGCAGCCAGCCCCTCCTCTTTTCACTTCCCTGTCCACTCGCACCAACCACTCCTTTGCCAATGACCTTGAGTCCCTTGCCCTCTTGCCTGTCTTTGCTCCCATGCAGCTGTGGATATGGGCTGCACCCATCAGCTACAACTTGGCCTCACTTCCCCTGCTTACTGGGAAGCCTGCAGCCTATCCCAAAAGGTACCTACCGCAGAAGGCCTTCAGCCCCAGGTGGTTTTGATGGGCCTCAGTATAGGCTTCCCACCTGGCAGAGGGAGTAACATTAGTTGTAAGCCTGATCCTGCAAAGCCACGAGTGGTTCTGCTCTGGAGCCAAGAGACACCCCAGCACTGTCCTTTTTCTCTCTTCCAGAGGACCTCAATTCCAGAGGCAAATCTTTAGCCTTTGTCACATGGGACAGAGTCCAAGACCTCCTTGCCAAGATCCTGGGGAGAAATTAGCTCACACCACTGTATGAGTTCCCCCATTACGAATTCTTCTCTCCTTGCTTTGAGGAGGGGCACAGCCCAGGATATCTCAAAGGGCTGAAGGTCCCTTACCTATTAATCACGCCCTTCCATAGAGTAGAATCTGCCCCTCACCTGGCTCCTAGGCTCTCTCCAGCAACAACCTCTCCTTTCCCAGCATTGCTCCACAACCTTCCGCCAGCACTCAGCGGCCCAACGTACTGATGCAAAGACCTGGGGCTCACACAGAGGCCCTCTCCTCACATTCTGTTCTCCCAGAGGTAGGAACATTCACATAATTGAGACTTGCAATCCCTGGCACAGGCCATCACTCCAGGGCCAGGGCATTGAGAGGATGTGCTGAATTAGCCTCGGGACCTCATATAAGGTCGAGATCAGGCAAGGCAAATTCAGAATGATCTGATTCAGAGAATGGGGTCAACACTGGGATGGGGTCAGGAGCCAGGACACAATCTCCCTCAGGCAAAGTCAGCCAGAAGACCCTGGTTTCTAGACATCCAGCTAAGAATGGGGCCCCACTCAGATTCTGAATTCTCCAGATGTCCCTTCTGGTATCATGGAAACAACTTGACCAAGTGTTTGATATATGTTGAAAGGCTTCCAATAGGCCAGAATTTTACATAATAATTTGTATAATTCTTAGAAGAACTCCCCAAAATAGATGATATTACATCCCGATTCCAAAATGAGGAAACAGAGGCACAGAGAAAAAAGTAAACCCCTGAAGGTCACATGGCTCATAAGTAAAGAAAAAACAGTTGGATTTCAAAATCCATGCTCTTAACCACTACCTTGTACAACCTAGGTTACATGAGCAGCTCTGCAATTGCTTAGCTTGAAAATCTAGGCTTATTTCTGAGTTTTGGTTTTCTCTTTGTACTTCCCTCCCAGGTAGAAGATTATGATAAATAAATAAATAAATGGGTGCATATAAAATCCTCACCATGATACCTTAATAGTAAACATGCAATAAACGTTAGTTATCAACCCCAACATCATATTATTACTATTACTAGTGCCAAATACACACAGATGGATTCTTGTCAGAGTTCGCCTGCCTCACCCTTTCCTTTGCCTGTTTCCCTGCACTAGCGTAGACCCCTGACAGCTCCCAGTTACTCCCAGGCTGCCTCCACCGAGTTTCCAGTCTTTATTAAAGACAGACCTCTTTTGATTGTAAAATAATCCTATGATGTAAATAGAGCTAAGATTTAGCAAGATTAAGCACCTTGCCCAAGGATAATTCTTTCCGATTCTAAAACAATCTCTATAAAATCAAGTACAGTGTTTTGATTGTTTTTTCAATTGGAAACTCAGCTTTGAAAACAAAATTATGAATAAAGAAAAGCATTGCCGTGGGTCCCACCATCCTACCACAGTACTCGTAGTCATGTTTCTGTATTACTCACCAGGCTTTGCCCACCTCTGAAGAGGCTGACTTCTCTTCTGCGGATTCACTGCCTGCAGGAGACAGCTGATAGCACAGTTCACTCGAGTGAGGGCTGGCCCCAAAATCCCACCAACAGATTCTAGAGTGATGATGAGAGAAATCCAGAATGATTCTAATTTAACCTGAGCAGAAAAATGTAACTAAACTAGAATAGATAGTAAGTGGAAATAAGCATCCCTTTAGAAGCAATCAGAGTCTCTTTGTGCCATTATTTCCTCCTAAATTACACTATGTCTAATTCTCTCCTATGAGCTGTTAAAATTATGCAGTCATATAATCCAGTCATATATTTATTAATTATTCAGTAAGCCAAAACCAAAGGCAAAATACAAACTTTAATCCTGTCCTTCTCCTTTTTCCCCCATATCACTGACCACATCAAGTCTGGGTTTTCAAATTCGTCTTTTTTTTTTTTAGTTAGGAGATTTTTGGAAATAAGGACTTCCTATAAAAAATTTTACATAGAGTAGTAGAAATTTGTGACCATCTACTGTCAGTGTAGGGACTGACACCCTTTGAACATCTTATGGAATATGGGTTAAGGTAGAAGAAAAATGGGGAAGGGAGTTAGAGATGATAGAACTCTAGGTTGGCCTGAGTGTCCTCTCACTTCTAGCCGACTACCTGAAGCTAGCTCCAGGTGATCTTTCTCCATTTTGTCCATTTTTTATTTGATGACCAATTGCCCAACACTGATGCATTTCATCTATATTCATGGCAGGCCTACCTCCTACACATACAGCTTGGTTAGAGGGTATTAGCAGGAATACATAAAGAGGTGTAAGAAATGCACCCTGATTCAAGGAGCTTACAGTTCAACTGAGACCGGAAGAACCAGAAGACCTGGGATTGATTCTCAGCTCCTTCACTCACTACCTGGGTTAGCATGAGCAGTTTATTAAAGTTCGTTTTCTGTAAAACAGAGCAAACAATAATAATAGTGTCTATACCTGACAAAGGGTTACTGCTGGGATCAAAAGGTGTACATTTTGTGGAAGCACTTTACACATAGGAAGTGATATTCAGAAAATTATTATTAATATGTACAGAAGGTGTATATATACCAAAGTCAAAACAGCACCTCTCAGGCTGTTATCATTTTACAAGTTTGGATCTTTTAAGATGATCCTTTCAGAGACATGTTTCCTGCAAGATGTGATGCATGCAATTCAGGTAAGCTACCATCAAGTACACTGTCTTACCTGAAAAAGTAGTTGACATTTTGACACGGTTTGCAGGCCAACCAAATGATCTGCGTCAAAATTAATGCACCAGGCAGGAAGAATGGCAGCCTGGTCTGAGCAGCAGAAAGTGACTAACTTCGCCAAATATTTATTGAGTGACTTCTATGCATCATGCACTGCGCTGGGAATAAGAAGACAAAAGGCATGATCCCTGCCCTCAAGGAACTTACAGTCTACTAAGGCAGACTAACAATTATAATAGGACAGTTGTACAATAGGATTATATACAGTCTGATGGGCCCAAAGGGGAAGAATCCCTACCTCGGAGACTTGGGGTGGGAGGGACCTTTCCAGGGAGGGTGCTGTTTGAGCTGGAACCTGCAGAATGAGCAGGAGTTTTGAGGCAGATTAATAGTGGACTGACACTCCCAGAAGAAGCTTCACAAACTCCAAGCTTTTCTACTGTGTTTTCCTCTAGATGAGCCTTTTACAATTAGGAGAAGACTTCTTATATGAGTACCTCTACTCTTAGCTATCTGCTCTGTGTATAACATTTTTATATCAAATACGTTTGTTGATTAGCTTTTTCTTTTATCAGTTCTACAAGTTTAATGGCTTGTGTATAAATACAGTTTCAACAATGTTTCATCTTATGATCATGATGAAAAATTCACACAGCACAAATTTGATCAGGATACAGTAAAGAGATACATTCATGGCACAGGAAGTGGACCTTCTCCTTGCTGCAGAGGAATACTGGAGACAGGGGATCCCAGAGGATAAGGTTGGAGGAGTTGGACTGGAGAGAGACTAGAATGGATCTTAAATTTTAATGCTAAGAATTCTGGGCGATGTCAGATACAGAAGAATTTTGTTTGCAATAAAAGTAGAGTGTTAGGAAATTAAATCTGATGGTAGTACAGTTTAAACTCATTTTTCAAAGGATAGATTATAGATAGAAAAGGATAATGAGAAAAATGTTATGGTAAAATGTTAATATTTGGAAATAGGTGAAGGGTATATGGGAGTTCTAGTAACAGTTTTAGCAACTGTTCTGTAAACCTGAATTACTTAAAAATAGTAATAATAATAAAAAAAAAAACACGATGATGTTGAAGAGGGAAACCCAGAGCAGAACAAGTAAAGGAGGAAGATGTGGTGGCTCTGAGCCAGGTAGCTAGAAGGAGGTGTGGAGCACTGTATGAACATTTCTGACAGATGAGGCACCACCTCCTGACAGACAGAGACAAGGGATATCCATTCTTTTGTAAATCAGAAACTGGTCACCGATCTGCAAAATACATTCTGTTCTGTTGCCAGATAAAATAAAATATGGATTTTTCCCTGTTAGGGTAAATACTAGTGTCCGGTCACATAAGGATATTTTGACAAAGCCTTGATATCCCCAAATGATGAAACCTCCTAGCGATGGCTGGATTTTAGAAGCACACATCAGCTGAACTGTTATTTCTCTCTCTGGAATACGGCAGATGGACTCTGAAGTATACAACCAGTAGAATGGAAAGATGTAATTTTTTGTGTTTTTGTCATTTAGTGCACTCATCCAGACGTGTTCCCAGTAGACTACCCTTTGTACAGGCTGAAGAGAGATGTGCATAAGGCCATGCGGCAAAATTACAATCATTTTCATGAGCTAGAGAGGAGGTGTTCAAGTTACATTTGAAAATGAAAAACTGTTTACCTATTACTATGATTTTGCTCTGAATAAACGCAACAATCTCATTTAACCCTTCTCATCTTCATACTCCATATTTTAGAAAAGACAAAACCTTAGTTCAAAGAAATTAAGCATTTCAAAGGCCATGCAGAGTATAGATTTGTCTTTCTGGACTTTCTTTTCTTTCTCTTCTCTTCTCTCTCCTTTTCTGGCCCTTCCCCTTCCCCTTCCCCTTCCCTCTCCTTTTTTGTATGCAGGAGGTTTATTGGGTGTTGCTCTTGGGATCAATACCTATGGGGAAGTGAAAGAAGTAGGATTGCTCAGAGAACAAGTTTCAGAGGGGATCTGAGCTATAAGCTATCAATAGCCAAACCTCTCAGTAGCTACAGGAGTGAGTACTTCAGTCCTGGGAGGGGAGTGAGTAGATGTGGGAGACATACCATAATATCCACTACAGATTTAAATATTTTTCCCATAAATATTTCTATATGTATATCTAAAGGACAAAGACATTCTTTGAAAACATATTTCTAATGCTATTACCATACCCAAATTTAGTTATCAATAATTCATTAATATCCAATCTGTATTCAGCATTCGAGTTTCCAATTGTCTGAAAAATATAACTATATATTTATTTTATTTATTTATTTATTTTTTTGAGACGGAGTCTCGCTCTGTCACCCAGGTTGGAGTACAGTGGCTCGATCTCGGCTCACTGCAAGCTCCACCTCCCGGGTGCACACCATTCTCCTGCCTCAGCCTCCTGAGTAGCTGGGACGACAGGCGCCCGCCACTACTCCCTAATTTTTTGTATTTTTAGTAGAGACGGGGTTTCACTGTGTTAGCCAGGATGGTCTCGATCTCCCGACCTCATGATCCGCCCGCCTCGGTCTCCCAAAGTGCTGGAATTACAAGCGTGAGCCACCACGCCCGGCCAAATATAACTATATATTATTTATTTATTTATTTATAGTTTGCTTGATTTGGGGTTCAAATAAGGCCCATAAATTACAATCAATTAATATATCTTTTTGTTTATTTTATCTTTAAAATGACACATGATAATTGTACATATTTATGGGATACCTAGTGATGTTTTGATACATAAAATGTACAGTGATTATATCAGGCTAATTAGAATAGCCATTCATCTTAAACATTTACCTAATAAGCAACCTCAACTCTTCTTTCTTACTTCCTAAAAGGAAGAAGCATTTGTCTCATCAGGAGCTGACCTACACACTCAGCTACTCAGATGGGCTCAATAGTTCTAAAGCTAAAATCCTTCCTCTTGCAGGAATCGGTTCAGGATTGGGATTGCAACCCAAGCTGGGTCATTAAAATACATATAGACATTCTTCCTTAGTCTTATGGGTATGCTTTTAAAAGCAAGGCCCTCTCATCAGCCTGGACCTCATGAGAAATTATGGAATAGTTCCTGGTGGTTACTGGCCAACACCCTAGGACTCTAAGTGTGGCCTGCCTCAGGATAGAATGATTCTGTCTCACAAGGAATGCTGAAGGGAGTTCATCACACTGAAGGAAAAGGATGCTAACATGTAACAAGAAAACATCTGAAGCTACAAAACTCACTGACAAAAGTAAGCATACAGACAAATTCAGAATACTCTCATACCGTAATCACGGTATATAAACCAATTGTATTAAGTATCTTTTCTGACAATGGAATAAAACTAGAAATCAACAGAAGGAACTTTGAAAACTGTACAAATACATGAAAATTAAACAACATGCTCCTGAATGACTAATGGATCAATGAAGAAATTAAAAAGAAAATTTTTAAAATTATTCTGATAAATGGAAATGAAAACACAAGTTTTCAAAACCTATACATACAACAAAAGCAGTTCTAAGGCAAGTTTATGGCAAAAAATACCTACATCTAAAAGGTGGAAAGCGCTCCAAAAAAAAAAAAAAAAAAACTACTCTAACATTGCACCTCAAGGAACTAGAAAAATGAGAAAAAACAAAACCCCAAATTAGCAGAATAAAGGAAATAATAAAAATCGGAGCAGAGATAAGTGAAATAGAGACAAAAAAAATCAACACAAAAGATCAACAAAACAGAGTTGGTTTTTTGAAAAGATAAAAATTGATGAACATCCTTTTTTTACGGCTGCATAGTATTCCATGGTGTATATGTGCCACATTTTCTTAATCCAGTCTGTCACTGATGGACATTTGGGTTGATTCCAAGTCTTTGCTATTGTGAATAGTGCCACAAAAAACATACGTGTGCATGTGTCTTTATAGCAGCATGATTTATAAACCTTTGGGTATATACCCAGTAATGGGATGGCTGGGTCATATGGTACTTCTAGTTCTAGATCCTTGAGGAATCACCATACTGTTTTCCATAATGGTTGAACTAGTTTACAATCCCACCAACAGTGTAAAAGTGTTCCTGTTTCTCCACATCCTCTCCAGCACCTGTTGTTTCCTGACTTTTTAATGTATGGATGAGTTTGTGTCCTTTGTAGGGACATGGATGCAGCTGGAAACCATCATTCTCAGCAAACTATCGCAAGAACAGAAAACCAAACACCGCATGTTCTCACTCATAGGTGGGAACTGAACAATGAGATCACTTGGACTCGGGAAGGGAAACATCACACACCGGGGCCTATCATGGGGAGGGGGGAGGGAGGAGGGGGGAGGGATTGCATTGGGAGTTACACCTGATGTAAATGACGAGTTGATGGATGCAGCACACCAACATGGCACAAGTATACATATGTAACAAACCTACACCTTATGCACATGTACCCTAGAACTTAAAGTATAATAATAAAATAATAATAATAAAAGACTAAAATAAATAAATAGAAAAAATATAAAAATTAAAAAAAATTGATGAACATAAAGCTAGAGTAACTACTATGGTTTGAATGTGTCCCCCATATTTCATGTGTTTGAAAATTAACCCCTAAGTTCATATTTGATGGGCTATTGGGAGGTAATTAGGATTGGATGAGGTCACCAGGGTGGGGCCCCATAATAAGATTAGTGGCTCTGTAAGAAGAGAAAGAGGAATGTAAGCTATCATGTTCTTGCCCTCTTGTCATGTGATACCCTCCACCATGTTATGATGCAGCAAAAAAACTCTAATCAGATAGAGCTGCTTGATCTTGAACTTCTCAGCCTCCAGAAATGTCAGAAATAAATTTATTTTGTAAATAAATTACCCAGCATGTGGTTTTCTGTTATAGCAACAAAAAATGTACTAACACACTATGAAAAAAAAAGATACATGACTCAAATAAATAAAATCAGAGATAAAAAAGAAGACATTATAACTCATACCACAGAAACACAAAGGATCATAAGAGACTATTATGAATGACTTATATGTTAATGAATTGGAAAACCTAGAAGAAATGAATTAACTCCTGGACACACACAACCTACTAAGACTGAATCATGAAGAAACAGAAAACCCAATCAGACCAACAATGAGTAATAAGATTGAATCA